ACAACTAGTTTCTTTGTTAAGTTCTCGTCTGAAAGCGTTGATACCGGACAATGGTGTAGTTCTATATTGTTCTCATTTCTTTCTAGCTCTCTCTTTCCTCTCTCTCTCTCTAAAACGAAGAGCTCTCTCTCTCTCTCTATGCGGAGTAGCTCACCGAAGCTTTGCAACCGTAGACATTTTCCATCTAATTAGGTAGGTTATCAAAACAACTTTCTGGAAGTCAAATATCTGCAGTTCCAGAATGTTGTCCGGTAAAACAACTGTCAGGCAACACTCTGGATTCACAGTTTTAGAAAACATGAAATTCATAGTCCCGAAGACAATGTACACCAATCAAATTTACTTCAAGGAGATGCGCATTGATGTAAACCTACCAGATTAGAGGACGAAGTGTATGTAGTTGTGGAGCTTTAGATGCTACTTTGCGGCCAGAGAGGGCTCTGGGTTGTATATAGGGTTGTCGATGGGCAAGGCCTGGGCTGGCTCGGTCTGGCTCGGAGCCCAGGAAAGCCCGGACCGGAACTATGCCCGGTAAGGCCAACCGGTTAAAAGCCCAAAAGCCCGTCACAACCTGTTAATGCCCAGAATTATACTCAGAAGCTCGGCCCAGCCCATTAGACTTATTGGGCCTGGCCATGCCCAATTTAGATTTTTTAATTCTTTTTTTTTAAAATCTCTCCAAACTTTTCTTGTAAGCCAAAAAAAAAAAGGCTAATTATTTTGTCTTCTATTTACCTTCAATTGCTAATTATTTGGAGACTTGAAACACATCAACATGATGCTCCAAAGTACAAATGAACTCATATAGGAGACCGCACAAAAGAAAAAGTTAGGCATTTGTGGTTAGGGTCCAATAACTTGTAAAATTTCTCAGAGATATTGTACACACTTTTAGAAAGAGAGAAAGATTTGTAGAGGGAAGACCTCTATTTTTAGAGTGAGAGAGAATTTTTATATATTTTAGAGCGAGAGAGAAAGAGAGTTTATGCAAGTCAGAGACATGTTATGAGTGGCTTCTAGAGCGAGAAATTTTTTATGTGAGTTAGAGAGAGAGATCGTTTATGTAAGTTAGAGAGAAATCTAGAGAGAGAGAGTTTATGGGTGGTTTCCTTGAGTTCAAGAGATGTTTTACCATGGAAGAGACAAAAACAGAATGACATGCAACTAAGAAAATTGTTTATGTTAGAGAGAGGTTATATTTGGCTTTTTATTGCGTTTTAGTGATATTTTATCAGTGAAGGAACAAAAACCGAAAGGACATGCACCTGGGAGAGAGAGAGAGGATATGCACCTACTCGGGAGAGAGAGAGAGAGAGATTATGTGCATGAGCAAACAGTGATCATGCCAACAACTCCATAGAATAGAGGAGGATTATGTAGTCTGTACTAATATGTTATAGATGTAGAGAGAGAACACATCCAACGAATTTCTGTGTGTCATTGTGCGTGTGCGTATGTGTGGGAGAGAGAACATGCAGTTAATGTGTGTATCCAAGAGAGAGATTATGAGATAAGCTAATTAGAGCAGCCCGGCCAGGTTACCAAATTTCGGGCTTTTTTCAGCCCGGCTAGGCCCAATCCGATAATACTATATACCCAATAGGGGTCAGCTCGGTCCGCAGCCCATTGACGGCCCATTAACCAGCCCGCTGGAGGCCCGTTAGCCAACCCAGTCTAGAAGCCTGAGGCCCAACGCTGTCCATTGGCAGGCCTAGTTGTATAGAAAGAAAGGAAAGCAATAGCGATAGGGAGAAGAGAAGACATGAGGACACGAAAGGACGGACAGGAGTTTGGGAGATCTTAGAGAGATGTCCAGTACTACGAACACCGAACAGCATAGAACTACACCATTGTCCGATATCAACACTACCGAACAAAGGAACTAGTTTCCAGTATTACGAATGCCGGACACCTCTTTGCATTTACATGAAATCAAAATAATTAAAGGCAAAAAGGAAAGGTAATTGTAGTGCACTACAAGAGTTCAAAAGAAAAAGTGTACTACACTATTCGCATATGAAAATGACAGCATTGAACTCCTAGAACTCGTCATTTCTGCCGTCTCCCTTGGAAAAGTATGGGGGATGCATAATAGCTTTGTTTATACAAGTAAGCAACACCTTTAAATTTTGTTGTTAGATGATATTTTGGCGTAAGAAGGTTTAAAAAATTCATGTTTAATCTTAATTATAAAATTTAAAAATTTAAAAATAATACAGATCGAACAAATCTATAAATACTTAACAATTTTAAAAATAAACAATCAAAATAACTTGCTAAAAAATATACTATTTTTAAAACTTAAAATTTCCAATTTCCTTATGTTATCTACAGATCTGGCGGTCGAGATCATAAATTGAAAAGTTTTCGAACGTCAGGATACCATATCATATTTTTTGGGTGCACCATACTCCTATGACATAGATTACTATTTCATATAAACTATCCCTTTTTTATTGGTGATTCACAATATACATTTATTTTGCCCTGCAATAATTTCTTTCAAAAGACCGAGAAAAAGCTCGTCAATTATTCTTTGAAGAAGGGATTCAATGAATTAGTAAAGGGTATGTCCTTTTGGTTCCGCAAATCAAGAAAGGCCGCTTCTCCCTCCCCCACTTTTGTGGGGAAAACTCCAACGAAGTGGCATTCAAAAAGGAAAGCAGCTCTTGTAAAGAACAAATTTCTGTTAAAAAAATATATTTCTCTTAGTTATAAGTTATTTTAGCGGAGGCAACCGGTCGGGTCTGTCTCGACCTGGACCCAAATCCAAAAAAAGTTTATGGGAACCTGACCTAGACTCGGACCGGCCGAGACCCGAAGTTATCGGACTGAACTTGAACCACATTGGACCCGACCGAAAATTTAAAGAAAAACATTTAAATAGATTTTAATATTATGTTAAATATAAATAGTTATCATTTAAATACTATAACTAAAAAATATATAATTATATTTATTTAAATTATATTAAAATATTATTTAAATATTAAAACTATTCAGGTCAGATCCGGGTCAGGTTTACATAGATAGGACCCAACCGAATGGGTACAATTTTTGGACCCATACCTAGATTAGATCTGGTCTATTGCCACTTCTAGTTCCATACATACAAAATTATATATGCATTTTCCGTATCATTACCCAAGAAAAAAGGATAAAAAAAAAAAACCAGAAGCTTGAGGTGCCCCCAACTGCCGTAACGGATCGGGACCGTCCATTTTGTCGTTAGGTTGGATTCTCTTTGTACACAAGCCGGCCAGAACCAACTCAAAAATATAGATATATGTAGATACAAATAATACACATCCAACATACGGATATGAAAATGAAATGGCATGCCAGCCATGTTACTTTCAGATTGCTTGGTTTTCAATAGAAAAAAGAAAAAGAAAAAAGGTTTTGAGAAAGCCTCCAAAAGTATGACTCGCCTTATCCGATTCCTTACCACTTTCAATCTATAAATACGGTTTGATCCCTTCCTTACCTTTATCGTCCACCCAAATAAACAAATTTCAATCAAACCATTCTAGCCATAACATCATTTTCTCCACGTTGCCCCCTTCACAATTATATTGACCCCATTGGAATCCACCTAAGTTTGATTAAATGGAACCTAAGTGTCACATGCTGTGTCGGATCGGCCCTCATGGATTTGTTCGGATTGGCCGAATTGATGATATATCTAAAAAATTAAAAACACAAAAAATAATAAGCAAGTTTAAACTATGGATTTGTTCGGATTGGCCGAATTGATGATATATCTAAAAAATTAAAAAAACAAAAAATAATAGGCAAGTTTAAACTTAAAGTTACTTGGTTTTGAGACTATTTACTTTTGATACAAGATGGTCATAATTACTTACAACTGTCTGATATGAAATTTGATGGTTTGAGTATATCACAAACTTTAAAAAAATTTATTTTGGAGTTTGAGCCTGGTCAATGGAATAAATGCAGCCACTCTTCAGATTAATTGTGATCACTTTATATCAAAGATAATAGTCACATTCTATACTTTTTCTTTAATAAATTAGACAAATTTGGATGGTTTTTTAACACCAATTAGGAATCGGCTTTGCCACCCAATCAGGTCGAGAAGCTTTGTCACCCAATCAGGTCAGAGACGAGCAATACCCAGATCCAGATCAGAAAATTTCAAAACAATGGTACTAATAGTAAATGCAATGGACACCAAAGATCCCATACTGATATGAGAAACCAACCAATGTACTTTGTGATCCAAATTAAACGAAGAAATTATGTCTAAATTTCTAATAATTAAAATAATTTATCCTTTTTCAATTATTCAAATTTATGATCACGCGCATTTTGATGGCACTTTGAAATAAGTCAAATGACAAAAAAATCTAATAGTCGATATTGTTCAAACAAAAAAGTCTAATAGTTGATCTCGTAAAATGTAATTTTATTAAATTCCCTAAAATTAAAACCCAAATATTTGACCGTTTGAATATGGCCGTTGAAATTTCACAATGGTTACTGAAATTTCAGCAGCAAATTCAATTAATTAAAATTATGACGAAAATCGAGATGTCGGCACTAATAACACTGTTCCCCTAATTTGGGTCCTAGAGAGTAGAAACTTAGTGAGCGCGGCCATCTTGAAAATATGAAGAGCTATTTACGTCATTGAAAATTTAGAGGACCCTCTTGAAAATATGAAGTTAATAGAAGGTATTTTTGTCCTTCGGCGCCTTCTCGAAAGTGATACGTGGCGGTGTTTATGGTAGGACAGCAGCAGCCCACAGCATGGAGCCGTTGGAAACAAAGCCACTGTTTGTTAACTCTTAACCGGCCTCCTGGTTAACTAACCCAATCCTCTGGTTAACTAACCAAACTGACGGGTAAGTTAACCAGGATCCTTGACCGGTAAGCTTCCTAATATTAAAATATTATCACAGAGCCAATGAAAAAGAGTTACTATCAATTTTCACCATCAATGGTAAAACCCTAATTCTATAAATGCAGCACCCGAGGCATGCTAGGTTTGCCAATTTAGCAAGCCAAAGCGGCCCTCCAGGGTCAGGGTTTCTACCTCCCATCTCTTCTCTTTTAACCCTATTTCTTCTGCAACTTTCTCAACCTTTAATGGCGTCCTCCAGAACTAGATCCAACGCACCGGTTCTCCCTTTGAATCAAAACTACCAGAGATCCCTTTCACCTACAGGGAGGCTCTCTACCCCCTATTCTTCTCACTATTCGTCATCTGGTTTCTCTTCTCATCGATCTGCTTCTCCAACAAGAGTCAATCTCTATAACGGTGTTGCTATGGCGCCTACTGTTCGTTTCTCTCTTGATCGATCGAGGTCACCGAGCCGATCGATCGCAGGTGTGATGGTTTCTACTCGAGATCGCGTTCTTAAGAAGCAGCAGAGCCCGATTGGAAATAGAACTCCTCCGCTTCAACCCAGGAGGACATGCCTTTGTGCTCCTACGAATCACCCTGGTTCTTTCAGGTGTAGCCTTCATAAAGGAGGGTTCGGTGCCTCTAATGCGAGACTTGATGCCCGGAGGTCATCGATGGTGAACTCTCTGGTTCGAATTGGCTCAGTTGAGGGAGAATGGGTTCGTAGGGCCCTCACTGCTCTGATAAGGCCATCATCGCACTCGCAAAAAAGGAGAATGAGTTTTCAGCCTAGGCCTAGCAGGCTATCTGTTATGTCCAAGGCTGATGATGATGGCTCTTAGAGAAAAGGTTTGTTCATCGTGTCTTAGACCTTATAAACCCTACTAATCTTGGTTTTCCGGTGGATAAAGCCTTATCTCTACTAGATCTGATTTTCTGGGCGAATTTTTGGCCGAAGTGTATTTTCCGGTTAATATCCGGTGAAGCGTAATTTTCCGGCAAATCTCCGACCGAGCTGGATTTTCCGGTTGATCAGATCAGTTTCCAGCGTAAGTTTCTATTTTCTGGCGAATTGGGTCCGATTTGAGACGGATCTTGACCTTTGCTCGAGATCCATAGGTGAAGCGGGCGGCTGTGATCGTGTGATGGTGTTGTATTGCAGAGAGATAATGGAGTGAGAGAACTAGAGGTAGAGGGAGAAGATATTCGTTTGTGTACATAGAATTATTGATACTGAATATCCATTCTTATATGGATTCTGAGAACAAACCTGATATTCATGAATAAACAGACGCACAGCAAAATAAAATTCAATAAAGGGAAAAAAATGCAAAAATCCACATATAACTATAATTCGTTTTCGTATTCTCATAATGGATTTTAATGAAAGGTCCGTTATCCGTTGCCGTTCCGCTATACATCGTGTTTTCCGTCGAGGGCGTTATCCGTTCTATTCGTTCGCTTATACACACATGGCGTATCGTTCGGCTTCGTTGCGTGTGGCCTGTCCGTTTGGCCCTGTTCCGTGTGGCGTATCTGTTCTCCTCCGTTGCGTTTCGTTCAGGTAAATTTCGTTTCGTTAAATTTTCGGTTTCGTTTTGAAGTATTCATCTGTGTTTTCGTTTCAAGTATTCATCTCTTTGGGACAACGCGTTTGGTGCATTTCGTGTTCTGCTTGGGCAAACACGCGTGGCGTATCTATTTGCATGCGTGTTGAGGTAACTGGTTTCTTTCCTTTGTTTTTTATTTTATTATTTTTATTTTTTTATGGGGATGGAATTTTCTTTTCAATTACCGTTTCTTTATTTTTTTATGTAAGTATTATGTATTTTTTCTTTGTAATTGTTTTGCAGGCTCTCCACAACGGCTAAGATTGTGTTGACGATGGAGAAAGCGGGAAATGAGGTTTTAAGAAGTTTGTGAGAAAAAAATCATTCGTCCCCAGGTGGTCGTTATTAAATATTTGAGAAATGGAAATTCAATAAAACGGAAGAATTGGACGTGGTCGTCATTAAATATTTGAGAAATGGGAATTCAATAAAACGGAAGAATTGGAATTCGAATAGAACGGAGAGAAAAGTTCGAGATCTTGGAAATGGTTGAATGAATCTACGGATGAAGATTAATTGCTTAGATTTCATGTGCGGTATCTTGGAAGGAGGAATTAATACGTTTAAGACTGGAAATTGAAGCCAAAATTGATGGGAGAAACTTTAGCCACAAGTGATTTTTTTGAGGGACAAGCCTGCACAAGAAGACAAGGAGATGAATTGAGGAACGGAACGTTTTGAGAAACGGAACCAAAAATAATAACGGGTTGAATCAACAACCGAAAGGACTTTTTAATGGTGATAAAAGAGAAAAATACTTTGAAATACAAAATGTTAAAATGAGCCTTTCAAAAAGAGGTGGACTTGAACTGGAATTGTCAAAAAAATGAACCAACTTTTGACTTTTAACTAGGAGATTATAGTGCGGTCTTTTATTCTGCCACCTAAAATAGGGTGGCAATATGGAACCCCTGCAGGGGCCCTGGTTAGTCCCCATGGAATTAAGTGGATTATAGAAAAAAGGTCTGCCTTCAAATAATTTCTATGGCCCCATGGAATTAACTGAATTATAGAAAAAATGACTCCCTTCAAGTAATTTCTACGAATGATATTGGTGAAGGACATTATGATTGTGGATAATGAGATTGTGAATCTCCATATATCTTTGATATAAAAGTGTTTTAAAACCTTAAAAAAGAGGTGTTTTAAACTTAATATTTTCTATTTGGGCCCAACTAGCTATAGGATGGTATAGGTCCCTTGGTTTTCCTTTAAAATCTTGATTTACATTTTTTTTTCTTTTTTCTTATAGTTTATTTTATTTTTTTTATATTCCCTTTGAATACCTCACATAAATATCTATTTTAAATTTTATTTTATTTTATTTATTTTTAATATTTTTTATTGTTCATTTATAGGATTTATACTTGATCTAGTTCAATGATCCAACGATCCGACAAATGATTTTGCTCAACTGATGTAGATTTTAAAACATTGTTTGAAAGTATTAACATATGGTAAGTGATTCATGTCGCCAAATTTTTTTGAATAAATGGAGTGTCATATCTTTGTAGGGTAATGTGAGTTTGATATGGCATTTTAATTAATGAAAATGTTTACAAGGTTAGAATTAAGGTGCATCATAAAAATCCTCCATTAGAGGTTCTTTTGATGTTGGTAAACCTTCTAATTAATCATCTTGTAATATTAATCATCTTGTAATGGAGATATACGGATATAAAAAGAAAAATGATTTTGAGTTGCGAAGATAATATAAATAGAGTAATGATCCTATAGGACCCTCCTTCACTCATGTGTGTAGGGCCCCAAATGATCACCATTAAATTTGGCATGGATCTCTAAAAAAGTTATCACATGGGTGTAGGACTTGATTTTTTTAGATATTCATGTTAAATTTAATGGTGATCCTTTGGGGTCCTACACGTATAGGTGGAGAGGGTCCTATATGATTATTTCTCAAATAAATAATGCATCTTGCAACACATTATCTAGACCGTCCATTCAAGATTTTCAAGTGTTTATAGATCTACTTGTTTTGAACCATTTTTGGAGTTTAAGATTTTATAATTAGAGATGAAAATAGATTCTCAAGTCATCTTAGTAATTTTTTACATTAAAATTATATTTATGATAAATTTTTGAGGTGCCCCATAATTGGATTGTTTAAATTTACAACCTTATGCAAACCATACCTTTTCATCATCATCATGATAGCTTTTTCCCATTTCATTGAGGTCAGCTACGTCATTTTACTCTATTGAAAGTTATACCCTCAGTGAGGTCATAAGTTCCCATATCTTTTCAGACTATTTCTAACCATGTCTTTTGAGGCATGCCCTTTGCTCCTTTTAATCTTTTTACTTGAATTAACTTGTACCTCTTAATAAGTGATGTACTTGGTCAATGCCACATATAGTCGGTCTGCCTAAGTCAACTTTCTCTCATCTTATTGGTGCCACACTTAAACTTTCTCGAATGGATTCATTTTGGACTCTATCACTTCTTGTCTTGCTACTCATCCATCTCAACATCTTCATCTTCGCTACATTCATTTTATGACTGTATTGTTTTTTGTCTGCCCAATGTTCTGCCCTATAAAGCAAAACTGATTTTACAACAATCCTATAGAACTTACCCTTTAACTTCATTGGTATGCGACAATCACATAAAATTCTAGCTGCACATCTCCATTTCGCCTATCCAACTCTAATTCTATGTGCGGCATCTTCTTCAATCTTTCTATTTTCCTATATTATCGACTTAAGGTATCGAAATTGCAGTCTTGTTTGTACTTCTGGGTCGTTAATCTTAACTACTTATTGGTTCTTATTACCACTAAACTTGCATTCTATATACTCTATCTTAGTCTGGTTCATTTTGAAATCTTTGGATTCTATAACACCCCTCCAAAGTTCTAACTTTGTGTTGACGCCGTTTCGGGTCTCATCAATCAAAACTATGTCATCTACGAACAACATGCATAATTGTACTTCATCTTGTAGGTGCCTAGTTAAGTCGTCCATAATAAAGACAAAGATGTTTGAGCTTAATGCTAACCTTTGATGTAGATTTATTGTCACTGAAAACTCACTCGTCTCTCCACTAGTTATTTGCACACTAGTTAACGCTCCATCGTACATATCTCTCACCAAGTCAATATAGTGTCTAGGGACTCATTTTTTTTCCATCACCCTCCAAATCAAATCTTGAGGTAGTATATCATAAGCTTTCTCTAGGTCAATAAAGATTATGTGGAGGTATTTTCCCTTCATCTTAAATTTCTCAATTAGTTGCCTAAGTAGGAAAATAATCTCAATTGTTGACCTTCAAAGTATAAAACCAAATTGATTTTCAGATACACTCATTTCATATATTAGTCTTCACTCAATCACTATCTCCCAGAGCTTTATAATATGGCTCTCACCCTTTAATTAATAAATAGTTTTTTTAACTTCAACAACCAGTCAAAAGCTTTTAAGTATTTATTCTTTTTAAGTTTTTGCCCTTTCTCTCCTACACCTATCCAACCCTCACCTCTCCCTTTCAAACCCTTGCTCACACCTCTCTCTCTTTCAAACCCTGGTCCCCACCTCTATTTCCCATGGTTCGGCTTCTCTTTGAAGTTACATAGTTTTATTGGCAATTCACTATATAACCAGTCGATTTTAATGGCTCTGGTAGCTCAAGTGATCAAATGGATCAAGGGTTTTCAATTTCTTGTTGGGTTTGTGGATGGAGGGGAAGAGAAAGAGAGGGTATAATTTTTTTAAGCCTTCCATTAATTGAACTTTTGACTACCCAAATAAGCCCAAAAATAAAATAAAAAAAATAAACCTTCTTATCAAACAAGCAGTGTTTAGAAGTTTGCTAATTAGGCATAATGAATCCTCATCGAGAATTTTTGTCATCGATTCCAATTTTTGAATTAAACCAGATAAATGGCCCTATATAAGTAATTTACATATGTTTAAATTTACTTTCTATTTGAAATATCTTAGATTTATATTTAAATCTTCTTTGAAATATCTTAAAATATTATAGTATGGAAAAAATTCGAAAAAAAAATCTTTAGTTTATTGTTTTTCTTTTATTTTGCTAGATCGCCTATTCACAAGCTAAAAAACATTTAAATAGTGTAACAAATATATTTCCATAACTTGCCTTTTTTTTCTTTCATATTTACAATAACCTTTTTTATTTAGGCATCGTTTGTATAATAACGATATTCTACACCATCTATTTTAGTTAGGGATTGCAGATTTGTTTATATTTTGAAGATAATATTAAAATCCATATCATTTAAATAAAACAGACAAGTTCCTTTACTTCTAAAAGTAAGGAAATCATGTGACAACTATTTCCAGACAAGTTCCTTTACTTCTAAAAGTAAGAAAATCATGTGACAACTATTTCCTTTTTATTTTAGGTTAGATTGGGATTTAAGGCAGGTAGTGATGGGACTTTGTAATCCCTCAAAATAAAAAAAGAATGGTTTTTTACTAAATTCAGGATAAATAAATAAAAAAACCGCGCAATTAGGACTTCCCTTTTGGTGGTATCCAAATATCCAATACTTACATTCAAAGAATAGAATTTAGTTACCTTTGTAAGAAATAAAAAATAGGAGAAAGCAGTAAGTCCCAACTTGAATGTAATTATCCATGGTGTACTACAAAAAAAAGAAATACATACATTAAAAAAAAAAAAAAAGGAAAAAGTGTATATAGAGCCGAGGCTCTAAACAATCAAATTAAAACCCACCACAAAAATTTCATTAGAAGAGGTTTAAATAATGCCCTCAAATTGATCATCTTGACATCAAGATGTATGAAAAAAAGAAAAAATACATTTCAAGTTTTGAAAACTATGTATCTTTTAATGCATTTTTGGACTGTCAATTTTCAAGATTTTTAAGTTTTCATATATTTGCCCGATCTATACTATTTTTAAAGCTTTAAATTTTATAATTAAAGATGAAAATATATTTAAAGCTATCACCAAAATTTACAGTATTGAAACCATATTTTTCGACACTATTTGAAGTGGGCTCTAATTTGATTGTTTAGAGCCTCGGCTCCATACAAACCACACCCTTAAAAAAACCTACTTTGATATATTTATAAGGGAAATTATCGCTAATATACCTATATTTTACTATAATCGGAAAAAAACCCCTAATTTTTCAAAACCTCACTTACACCCTTTCTCACAAGTTTCAACTGTTTTTGGATCAAAATAACTTTCACGGTAGTCTTTTTACCGTAAAGATTATTACGGTAATTTAAATTCCGTAATAAGTTGAAGGAATATTACTGTAATTAAAATACTGTAATACCTTAAAGTAGTATTACGGTAATTTAATTATCGTAATATTGCCCACACCTCATTAAAGGAACACAAAAGATTTTCTGCTCTCTCGAGAGTCTACTATTTGTTTACTCCATTGTCAAAAATTCATGCTAGCTGTATTTTTTAAATACCAAATTTTTAGAATATAATATCTACTACTTATAGAATAATTTCAGCAAAAGAAATTTACAAGTAAATTCTTCTGTATATTAGAAACACGTAACACTTCAATATTGAACATAAACTATCCTATTTTCAAAGAGCTAGATTTAAGTGTTACAGAACTCACAATTCAATTCTTTCAAAAATAATTTAGTAATTTTTATACGGTTTTCAAAATTTTAGAACAAAAACTGTCTTCAATAGGTGGTTTTTGAGCTAGGGAGTAGATACACATCGTGCTCCCATGGGAACATGGATTTTTTGAAAAATACAGCTCGGAAGGAGACTACGTGAAGGGAGGATAGGAGCAGCCCTGATATTAACTTCGGTTTGGAGCTTTTCAACCTATAGGGGTTTGGAATTGACCGGGAAAGTATTACGGTAATAAGAATACTGTAAAACCTTTCCCATACGATAAGTAAATTATTGTAATAAAAATTCAAACTATTACTGTAATACTCTTTGAATTTTTTAAAGCTGAAAATGTATTACGGTAAAAATACTACCGTGAATGTCATTTTAGTCCAAAAAAAGTCAGAAATTTGTGAGAAAAGGTGTAG